AAATCATTATTAACTCTAGCTCGTTATACCGCTTTTTCGAAAGTTTACTCACAATTGTTAGTTATCGAATCTAATACCAATTATTGAAAGAAAAAAAAACTAAATGCCAATTATTGAAAGAAAAAAAACTAAATGATACAAGGTTCGGAATACACATCAAAATTCATACCTATCCGAAAAATTGAAGCTTATAAGTAGTGAGTTTATCCATAATAAATTAAGACACTTTACTCTTTTTTATTCGATATGAGATTTTCACACATAATGCCTAACGTATATGTATCATTAGGATTGCTGATAACATCGACTTTTCCTGCCTTTGTTGTGCATCCCAGTTATGAAATGGGGCCAGAGTTCGTCCGCCACTGTTGTCCTTCGAAGCATGTGATGGGTGCCAGATACTGTGTGAGTGAAGAAAAGATGGAATTTTCAAAACAGATTTTTTTCTATATATAAAATCAAAATTTCAAGAATCACCGTACTGCTTAGGGGTATGTTTGGTATGTAGTTTTGGATGGGATTTAAAGGGTGGGTTTTAATAAAATAGTTCATGTATCCTTTAAACTCGTGTTTACTTCAAGATTTAAGATTCGAGAATTATAGAAAAAATGAATTATGACCCGTAATAAATAGTGAATTAAAATCCATGCACGTGAATTTGATAAAATTCATGAGAGATGAGTTTCAAAATTGAGAGATGAGGTTTATAGATGAAAAGACTACTTTACCAAAAAACATGATTCTTCTCTTTATTTAATAATGAACATTTTAGTTAATTGAATAATATAATTTGACATATATTTATGAATCCTACGTGTATTATGTCACATGTCAAATATGAGATTCAATAATTTTTATTTTTTTTTGGGTAGAAAGGGGTTGTTGAATCCCATATTCAAAATCTTGGGATTAGTTTGAAAAGACTTTACAAGACCAATCTCATCTACCCTAAAAAAAAAATAAAGTTATGTTACATGAATTTAAAAAATAAATTTAAAAATTAGACTCGATAATCATAACCATTAAATAGATAGTATGTCCCAATAAATGTTAGGACTCATAGTGAAATCAATGATTGTGATTATTAAGTCTAATTTTTAAACTTATTTTTTAAACCTACGTAACATTATTCAAAAAAAAAATTCGAAATAGGCCCAAAAAGCTACCAGCTAGAGTCCTAATTCTTCTGCCCAATCGGAAAAAAAGAGCGGCGTAATCTATATATGGGCTCCATTTAACTTAACAACTCAGAATGTGGGTCGGCCAATGATTAGTCTGGGCTAGTTCAAAATTAGGCCCAGACCAGCAGAAAGTGTATTCAATCACTCAGCTTGGCCCGGCCTGAAGGAGAGCAGTAAGAGTACGTTCTCAAATGCCCGCTAAGATAGGGAATTAATCATTCATCGAGGTAGATATCCCAATACGAAACTTATGACTAATTAAAGTGAGTGACCAATTGTAGAAAATATGATTTTGAGGATTTTGAGGAAAAAATGAATGGGGCAACCATGATATTAGGGTCTTGTATTTTGGGGGAATGAATGGGCAATGGGGTAACCATGAAATTAGGGTTTTGTGTTTTTGGGTGTTGGGTTAAGAAATTAGCCTAGAGAGAATGAATTGGTCTTATTACTACTCTTATCATGGTGCAACTGTGCATCCAAGAATGTCTAACAATCTCACACCCCGCAATGATAAGAACCGCGTGCACTAGCCTGATAACAAGTTTAATAGGTTTGATGTTGCCCTTGCAATTGGCATGTTCAACAACTGGATTTAACTGTAAAAACCTATGTTCGTTTTGATTGATGATACATTTTTCCGACCATTTGACCTTGGAGTTTTTGGCATCTATCTTTTTTTGTTTGAACAAGATTATGGCCTTTGGATTTGAAACAGTAAGGCCTGTTTCGTTTGCGTTTCAAAAAATAGTATCCCAAAACAGTTTTTGAGAAGAGTTTTAAGAAAGTAATTTTAATATTTTTTGAGATAAAAAACTTGTTTTGTTAAATGATTTAAAAAATAATTTTACAATACAGAAAATAATAAAACTTGTTGGACAGCCTAAATATATATTTGAACAGTAATTCAAACATTAATAAAAAAATTTAAAAACATTATTTTTATATTGACAATTTAATAATATATATATTAGTTATTGTCTGTGCCGGAAGACATAGAATAATAAAAAATGATAAATAATAAATATATTTATATTTATATCCAAAATCAAATTACAAACATAGAGAAGAAATAAAAGAATTTAAGAATCGATTTTATAGTGGGGGTGAGAGGTGGTGGTCGGTAGTGGTGGTGGTAGGAGACAGTGAGGGTTGTGATGAGTGACAATGACCGGAGTGGCACGGCGACGATGGTGGTGGTAGTGGCGACAGTAGCGGTGGTTGTAGGGGTGAGGGTGGTGGCAGCAGCTGTGGCGGGGGTGATGGGGACGCCGGTGGGGGCACCTGCGATTGTGGTGGCTGTGGTGATGGTGGGGGTGGTGGTGATAGAGGTAGTGGTGAGGTGGTTTCAAACACTATTGATTTTTTAAAGTATTTATGAGAAATAATTTCTAAAANGTGGTGGTGATAGAGGTAGTGGTGAGGTGGTTTCAAACACTATTGATTTTTTAAAGTATTTATGAGAAATAATTTCTAAAAATATTTTTAAAAAGTCATTCCAAAAACACATCATTAGGGGCCCATTATTCCTATTAAATTTAGAGTGTTAATATTAGCCGTTAGATTAACATTAAAGAAAAATTTAAAGTAATCTCCATCGCGAATAGTAAAAGTCATTTTATTTATCTTTTAAGATTTGAATTGTAAATTATTTTATTATATATATATATATATATCTGAAAATCCAAAATTGTTCTCCTTGTTTCCAAAATTTCAAAGAAAACTTTGAAAACAAGCTACGTTTGTTTTGTATTTTTTTTGACTCAAATCTCATATTTTCTCAAAATTTAGAGAACAAAAATACTAAACAAACAGATTTTTTGTGTTTTTTAAATTTTGAGAACAAAAAATTGTTTTGCAGAAGCTAACCAAACACGCAATTATTTTTCTGTTGAGTTTTGCAACTTTAAATATTATGTGAGGTATATTTGCTTGCTTGTTATGGGCATGCTAAAACTAGATTCAAGCGTGTCTACAGGGAATGGAGACATTTTCAATTACCAACCCAGAATCGATCACTAGGTTTGCTTTGCCAAAGTGAAAATCCTAAAGGAAAAGATGTTATTGGTGAGCTAAACTTGCATCAATTTTCAGGTTCAACAGGTTCTCATGTACATCATGAGAAAATTATTCGTAAAAGTTGCAAAAATGAAAGCTGATCAAGCATTATTATGCCGAAATGAAGAGCCAGAGAATAAACAGAGTCAAAATAAGGGGAAGTTTGGGGACGAAATTGGTGTTCTCCCACCTAAGATTGCAGCAATGCACAAGGTTGGATGGAATATGAAAAAGGGTATCGAAAGATGGTTGAACTATGGAGCAGCAACTGGAGTTGTACACCAACAAGAAATTGATGCATCTGAAGCTTGATAAATAGGAACAACTGGGTACTATTTTACTTATAAGGAGATCTTATAACTTCAAATCTGTAATTGATTCATTTTTAGAGATTGGCCATTGTGGGTTTTATCAATATACGAAGCCTAATTCTGTGGGAAAAAAATCCCCCTAAAGTGAGCTTTGCTCTTTCTTTGAGCTGTTAAAATGTATCAGATAGGTATATAGAGATGATTGATTAGAGAAGAATAAGTCAACCTGGGATCGTTCGTGAAGCATACTTTTAGGGCTGCAAATTTAACAGAACCCCCATTCTGTTAAAGAATAATCCGAGCTTGATTCGGGCAAGAAATAAATCAAGAGGGTGGGATCGGATCATCCCTCACTTAGGCTCTGTTCCGCTGTTGACTGAATGAACCTAATAAGCTTATAAAGATCCATATTTGAAGCCACCAAACTCTCATTCTCTGTTATTTGCTCCTCAGTCAAAGTCTCATTTGATAGAGAGACAGCTAACCTGTTGGACTATCACTTTAACATATATATACCCTCTTGTGTGTCATGCATTAATAGCAAAGTATCACTACCACGCGCACTCACATACGACAGAGAGAGAGCGAGAGAGAGAGAGAGAGAGAGAGAGAGGCAAGACATGAAGATTTCAGTAAGCTTACTATTGTTTTTCGTCTTCAAACTGTATATTTTTGCTACATTGATCAATGGATCCAATGACGATGAAAGAAAGGTACTACAAGCCTAGTCCCATTTCTTTTGTCAATTCGCTACATACTGGTCAAGAGTATTTGTCTCTTTGCGAAAAGAACATATGTTATAAACACATGCTTGAGTTTGAATTTTTATAATTCTTTGGCTCAATTCATAAGGAATTTATACCCGAACCCTGACATGAATGACTTATTTTTAACTGGATCAGACACTTTCTACTGTTAAACTAAAAAAAAAGAGCTGCATATGTGTATAGCAATTGAATTATCTTTCTTGTGACCATTTAGTGATGCTGAGTGCTGATGTGACCCAAATTTTATTTCTATTTTTTTTAATAAAAAAAATATAAATTTTTATGTATTAATTGACATTTTTTTTCCTTTGAATAATGTTGCGATCATAGCCATACATAGTGTACATGGGAGACTTGCCGGAGGATACGACAGCACTGGTGGATGACCATAACAACCTTCTTTCAGAGGCAATTGGAGAGTAATTAATCTTCACATATGTTTAGTTCTAAGCGGTTTTGTTTTTTAAAAAACTATACCTATAAATCCTTAAACAATAGTCCTAGTTTCACTTCACACTCTCAATTGTTGAAGTTTTTGCATTGCTCCATCGGTTACCTGAATTGATTTGAGACTCTGTTTCAAAACTAAATTTTCGTTTTGTATAAAAATGTTCGTGTATTTTTAAGTGTTGAGTTAAAATTAAACACAATCACGTCGTTTGGGAATAAAGTAAAACAATTTTTTGTCCATACAAACATCTACAATTAAAACAATGTGAAATCAATTACCATATTCTAAAGCCTAATAGGAGACACATAACAATTAGGGGTAGTGTGACCTATGGGCATAGTTGAGGGTGTCAATATGTAATTTATCTTCCTTTTTTTTTTTTTTATTGATGATAACTTTTAAGAGTAGGCTTCACCAATTTGGGTCCTTTATTTTCAATTTATTTTTCGATATTATACTGAAATTATTATTTTTTGATATTATATGAAATTATTATTTTTCGATATTAATTTTACCACATTGAGTAGTAACTTGACACAAACGAATTCTAACTAAATGTTATCTATCAGTAAACTTCATTACCCTATCTACTTCTGTACCCTAGTCATACCCCACCAATTTTTGCATCCTCATGTGAAAGATAATGTTACGAATACCACAAAGTAGTATAAAGTCCTGCAAAACTAAACTTATTTTCTCTCTTGGTGCTTTAATTTCAGTGTGAGCATAGCTAAAGAACACAAGATACATAGCTATGGAAGAAGCTTTAATGGGTTCGTGGCAAGGCTACTGCCTCATGAAGCAAAAACACTATTAGGTTCGTAGTAAATTGAATTATACGACGAGCTTTGTCTACCAAGTGTAGTAATATTTCACCTAAGAATTTTNGATCCAATGACGATGAAAGAAAGGTACTACAAGCCTAGTCCCATTTCTTTTGTCAATTCGCTACATACTGGTCAAGAGTATTTGTCTCTTTGCGAAAAGAACATATGTTATAAACACATGCTTGAGTTTGAATTTTTATAATTCTTTGGCTCAATTCATAAGGAATTTATACCCGAACCCTGACATGAATGACTTATTTTTAACTGGATCAGACACTTTCTACTGTTAAACTAAAAAAAAAGAGCTGCATATGTGTATAGCAATTGAATTATCTTTCTTGTGACCATTTAGTGATGCTGAGTGCTGATGTGACCCAAATTTTATTTCTATTTTTTTTAATAAAAAAAATATAAATTTTTATGTATTAATTGACATTTTTTTTCCTTTGAATAATGTTGCGATCATAGCCATACATAGTGTACATGGGAGACTTGCCGGAGGATACGACAGCACTGGTGGATGACCATAACAACCTTCTTTCAGAGGCAATTGGAGAGTAATTAATCTTCACATATGTTTAGTTCTAAGCGGTTTTGTTTTTTAAAAAACTATACCTATAAATCCTTAAACAATAGTCCTAGTTTCACTTCACACTCTCAATTGTTGAAGTTTTTGCATTGCTCCATCGGTTACCTGAATTGATTTGAGACTCTGTTTCAAAACTAAATTTTCGTTTTGTATAAAAATGTTCGTGTATTTTTAAGTGTTGAGTTAAAATTAAACACAATCACGTCGTTTGGGAATAAAGTAAAACAATTTTTTGTCCATACAAACATCTACAATTAAAACAATGTGAAATCAATTACCATATTCTAAAGCCTAATAGGAGACACATAACAATTAGGGGTAGTGTGACCTATGGGCATAGTTGAGGGTGTCAATATGTAATTTATCTTCCTTTTTTTTTTTTTTATTGATGATAACTTTTAAGAGTAGGCTTCACCAATTTGGGTCCTTTATTTTCAATTTATTTTTCGATATTATACTGAAATTATTATTTTTTGATATTATATGAAATTATTATTTTTCGATATTAATTTTACCACATTGAGTAGTAACTTGACACAAACGAATTCTAACTAAATGTTATCTATCAGTAAACTTCATTACCCTATCTACTTCTGTACCCTAGTCATACCCCACCAATTTTTGCATCCTCATGTGAAAGATAATGTTACGAATACCACAAAGTAGTATAAAGTCCTGCAAAACTAAACTTATTTTCTCTCTTGGTGCTTTAATTTCAGTGTGAGCATAGCTAAAGAACACAAGATACATAGCTATGGAAGAAGCTTTAATGGGTTCGTGGCAAGGCTACTGCCTCATGAAGCAAAAACACTATTAGGTTCGTAGTAAATTGAATTATACGACGAGCTTTGTCTACCAAGTGTAGTAATATTTCACCTAAGAATTTTTTTAGCATTAATTTTCTTTGATACTTATTGCTTATGTACTGATGATCTTTCAGAGAAAGAAAGAGTTGTGTCAGTGTTCCCAAGCACTGTGAGAAAACTACGAACCACGAGATCATGGGATTTTATGGGAATGCCTGAAACAGTGAAAAGGAACAATGGAGTAGAAAGCAATCTCATTGTGGGGCTCTTAGACTCAGGTCATATGAGTTAACTAATAACAAATGGATATGAGAGCTTAGGTTTTAGTGTTATACTAATTTTGTTGTTTTTTTATTGTTGGTGTTGTAGGAATTTGGATAAAATCACCCAGTTTTAATGATGAAGGCTATGGGCCTCCCCCACCCAGATGGAGGGGCAAATGTTCTAAGGGTGCTAATTTCACTGGATGCAACAAGTATGACTCTCTCTCTCTCTCTCTCTCTCTCTCTCTCTCTC